GCACGCCCCGCGCGCGCACCCTGCGGGCAGCGGCGAGCCGGTACCCGAGCCCTTATCACCACGCTTTGCTTACCGGAGCGATGGGGTGTACCCAATGAACGTGCCCGGCTTTCCCTTTGATTTTCATTTTAATGTGCTAAATTTAGTCTGTTTGCAGAGAGGGGAGGAGGAGGGCCGTGATTAGGCAGGAGCGGAGAAGCTGAATGTAGTGTGGTTTTACTGTGCCGTTAATTATATATTTTACATTTCTTATAGCACCTCATCTCAAAATGATTTACAAACTCTGATGGCTTGGGAGGGGGGGGCTCCCCTGCTTTATTTTTTTTTCTTTGCCCTCCTGTGATCTCTTGAATCTCTTAAATCTGTGCGCCAACCACTTCAAGACACGGGTGCCGTTGCAGCTGTGCAGTAGCAGAGCTTAAACCTCAAAGGATGAAGTTTTCCTCTGAGCGTTTGCCCTGTGGGGCTTGTCAGAGCTGGGCAGGTTGCAGGGGAAGCTGCTCACAGCAGGATTTTGCCTCTGAGTTTCACGAGGACGTTTGATTAGGATCTGAAGAGTTCACAGAGATGCTTGGGGGTGGCATCTGGAGCTGCTTCTCCCATGGAAGGTGCCACGGGGGGGAAATGTAGCACTAGTGACAACTGTGCACACTTGGAAATCCACGGCAGATCACCGCCTCTGAGCTCCAGGTTTCCTGGGGCTGAAACCAAACTCCACACACCATCAGTCCCTTTGGCTGCTAACCAGGGGCAAACCACAGCTGGATGCTGGCAGGCTGAAAGTCCTTACATTTGTTAGGTTTGCCTGTCATTCATGGGGCAGAACCTAGGCTTTGAGACCTCAGGCAGGGTTGGATTTGGTGTGTGTATTGTATTTTAGTCCCCAGCACTTGGACAAAACTTCTGACTTCACTGGTGGCTTTGCTTGAGGCTGGAAAGTTTCATAATTCACCTTTTAAATTAACCATGCTTTGGGGAGCTTTTGCTGTAAGGGGTTTGTTTGATCTGATGTGCTCTGCTCAACTTAAACCTGAGCTGGAGAATATTTGTTGCTCCTGCTCTCCCCGTGGTTTTCATGCCAGAGGGTTTTTCTTTCCTCCTCTGCAGAGCTTGGACACAAACACTTCTTCATTTGCTGTAACTTGTACACAGGAGAACTCCTCTGGGCTGGGGAGTGCCTTGGTACCCAGCTGAGCCTGTACTGATGTGAGCTGTCACCTCCCTCCTGCCACCCACCTCCCTCAGAGCCCCTGTCCAGCTGTGAGCAGAGGTGCTCCGTGGCATCTAGCGTCTCTCCTTTGCACAGAGGTGTTGCTAGAACAACACCTTCAGCAAGCGATTTCTCTCTCCATCCTGAAGCTTTTCTCCTTCCTTCCTCCTGCAAGCATCCCTGTGCTCTTGGATGTTGTCTGGGTTGAGGACATGCCGATACCCATTACTGTGCTGCAACGAGGACAGAGAACTCTATATGCTTAATGCAGTATTAATAGTACATTGATGTGATATAGATTTCTGTCACCCTCTATACTAGCAAACATTGCTTATCACGCAGGGATGACGGATGTTTATTCCCAGCCACTTAGCTCTGCATAATGGAATTGCAGCTGAAATATGGAGAGCAGCTCCCTGCCCACAGAGCTGCAGCCCCTCTCGTTCCCGCTGTGCAGAGCTGTCCTGTGGGCTCTTCTCGTTAACATGTCCTCAAGGAGGTAGAGACGTGTTCCTCACTAGGGATGTGCTCTTCTCCCATCGATGGGATGAAGGGTGCAGGAACCAGCTCTCACCTCTGACTTTCTGGGATTTGTGCAGTTGTCTCTTGCCCCTTTCTGCTACTGCCTGATTTAGAGGAGCAGGAGGGATGAGGTCCTCCTTCCCTTCCTGGCTGAGGGCTTCTCAAAGAGCCACAGAAGAAGTTGCACCATCTTGTTTTCTCACGATGAAGCATTGAGTCTTTGAGAAGATGCTCCCCTCAACTGTACGCTGTAACTCCACAGCAAGCTGGGCAGCACTAGGGTTTGCAACCTGTCCTCGCTTCAGCCATCCTCAGCCCTGCCTGGAGAGTTAAGCAAAGAGCTTGGCAATGGACACAGTCCAACCACAAACAGATTTCAGAAGAATAAGCTAAAATAGTCTTTTCCTCCTGATCTTTTGCACGTGGAAGAGAAAACAAGTGGCATATCTGCTTGGCAGATGTCAGCAGGAGGACCAACAGGTTGTGATGAGTTTGCACCTCTCTATATTTGGAAATAAACAGATGAGAGGAGACGAATGGGACTTGTTGTGGAGCAAGCACTGTGGACAGAATATGTGATGAGATAGGGTGTAGGATGACATAGCTTCCACCCATGGTCAGGGGTTTTGGTAATGCAAAACATGATCTGGTCTACCCTCATTTATGTGTCCAGAAAATGGCTACCAGTCCTTCTGGGCAGGAAAAGCCAGCTCATTACAACGGATAGCTCCTGATCAGTGAAAAAAAAAAAGGGAGCATCAGCTTGAAATAAGTTCATGAGGCGGTTGGTAGGACATCATTTTCATACATATGCTTCTTGGCAGTAACAGCAACTTTTAACCTTCACTCCATCTCCTGCTGTTCAGGATTTGAATTTGCAAAATGGGTAATTATGAGTAGCTGGAGAATTTTGTGGCAAAATACTGGTAATGTTGCAGAAGAAACATTTTGGAAGATTGTTTTACTTTAATAGTAGTAATTAATTATTAGCGTGATGCATCAGATGCAGATTAGTTCTTGGATCTGATCTCTCAAGCTTTACTCAAATACCACAGCACAGTTTTGCGGTTATTCTATTCTCTCATGTTTCTCGTTCGACCAACGAGGTCTTCTTGAGAATGACACAAATCAGAGAAAAAAAATTCAAACCTTAGTGGAGAAAATGATTCTGGGGGGCAGATCCTTTGCAGATCTCTGTCTCCCATCAGTGGATGCTCGGTTCCCACCAGTGCTGTACAGCTATACTTTTGTATATCAAGTGGTTTGATTTTGGTGGAGGTTGTTGCCAGACACGACCGGAGCTGGCTGTGTTTTCCTTTTCCAGGACTGGTGCAGTCTGGGGACTGGGATGCATTCTCCACACGGGTGGAGCAGCCGTCCTTCCGTAGAGTCCTAATGAGGGTTTTTTTCAACCTCATTTATTACAGGCTGCCCTGACATAATTACATATTCGAAGTTAGTAATTACACGTATTCATGCTAATTAAGTAATTAGATATAATTACACTAACTGTAAATACATGGTAATCGGCTAAAAAGAAGTACTTCAGAAAAAAACAAGGCAAATCACACAATAAAAGCGCCATCAGCACTCTTTCACTCAGTACCCTGTCTTTATCTTGTATTTCAGTGCAGTTTAAAAGGAACATTGTGGTCATTTCAAAAATCGTATTTTTAAAACAAATAGCTTTCCTTACCTCTCTTTCTAATAGATCTTGAAAACAAAAATGGAAGGTTATTTACCCTTACTACTGTAAATTCTTTTCGTTTGCCTAGTGTGTTTTGTTCATCGTGGGCATGGGAAGCTAAAAAGTATGCAGCATTTCTATTTCTGGTCAGTTCATGTTCCCATTTTTGCCAAAACCAACAACATCATAAAAATAAAGCCGTAAATGCTTGCAGTTTCATTTAGCTAAAAAAGAAAACTGAACCTGTTGGTAGTGGAAAAGAGAAACTTTTCTCCCCCCGCCCCGACATAAGAGGATTTCTCAAACCTTCTTTTGATGCAGTATGAATGTGGAGCCCAGTGTGCAGTGACAGCAGCACTCTGCTGCCCAGTGTCCAGCCTGGGGCCAG